GGCAAATTTTGGGGGGCGGGTGGGGGTGGGGGGGGTTGGGGATCTGGGGGGTAAAGGGGGGGATGCTCACTGGGGACCACTCCAATCCTGAGGAACATTCCCTGGACCCTCTCAACTCCCCGACCTCCCTGACCCCATTGAACTGCCCCGACCCCAGTGCTGGGAGCCTGATCAAAGGAAGTCAGGTTGGGGGCAGGGGCAGGATCAGGAAGGCTAGCAGGTCTGCAGTGGGGTGATTGGTGGGATCAAGGGGCTAGCAGCTCTGTGGACAGGTTCAGGGGTCCCAGGGAAGATTAACAGGAATGGGGGGCTCCCCCCTACTGGGGGCTATTTTTAGCCCCACAACCCTCCCACAGGCCAGACAAACAACCCCCCTGCCCTGCAACCTAACCCCCCACCTCCCTGATCTGCCTGCCCCTCCCACCAACCCAACTTCCTTCAATCGGGCTCCTGGCACTGGTAAACACTGGCAAAACTGGCACTGGGAGCAGTTTGTGAATTTAGGGGGTGGGAGGGGTGGCAGGCTCAAGGAGGCCAGCTGGTCCACAGGAGGGCTGTTCATCTGTGGGTTGGGGGAGGGGCCATGGGTTTAAAATAGCCTTGTGGCAGGGTGTGGGAAATAGGAAAAGCACAGTCCCTGGGTTGGGACCAGCAGCTAGGCTTTCCCAGACCCAGGCCTGCACTCAGAACATGAGCAGACATTCAGTTAACTGTACTCAGTGTAACTTGGTGGTCCTCTCAGGTGAGCTAATCTTTGATTGGGCTGGCCATTTGCTGACCGATTTAACCTTCAAGGAAGGTCTGTACAGTTCAGCACTTAGACCTAACTAGGGATCTAAACATAAGGTTCATACATGGGTGAACTAAGCTAGATTGGGCAGCCATTTATTTTACTCAGTCTAACTTCCTGAACATCTGTATGCACCCACAGACTCTAAAGGAGTAGCAGTACTGCAAATGTTTGTTCATCTCTATTTCTCCACTCTTTAGACTTTTAATGGGAGTATATCTATCTCATTAAACTGACAAATGTGCAGTATTTACATGCCTTTTTCTAGTCATTGCATTGGAAATTACATCAGTATTCTTCTGCACCCAATTTTTCTTCAAAGGTTTCCTACCTCAACAGCAGTTGAAATGCAATCCTATTGTACTGAAAACGTAAAACTTAACCTACTAGTCTGTTTTTCCTTCATCAGAAAGAATAAAACTCAAATCTTTTCCCCCTTGCAAACAGCATTAGAGAAAGCTTAATGAATGATAACTTCAAAGGGGAGGAAGGTTGAAATGTAAATTTAACTTTTTCCTAACCAATCATTTGTTGTACTCCAAAGACACAGCCTCACAAAGCAATTTCCATGTTCTCCTTTCCAAATGTGAAGAGGGGTCAATTTTTCCACTAGTGTTTTAAAAAACTTTTAACTTCTTAATTTTAGTAACAAATACACATATTAGAAAGCAAGTTTTATATCCCTATATGTTTGGGATGAAAAGCCTTCATACACTTATCATCCCTTTGAAGAATATACAAGAAAAAACACTATCTTCCTAGAAGAAACCTTTTAAGAACCCTTCTTGCTCTGTCCATAATAGGAATCTACAATGCCAAATACACAAACACACACAGTATCTGGTTTACAATGTTTTGGGGTAACAACACTGCAAACCATGAGTTTTATTCATAAGGACTAGTTGTACACCTCCTAGGATGAGACCATTAGTGAAGCTGGCAAAATCAGTACAGCTTATTAGTTTTTCTTAAACTTGGATACAAAGACACAAACTGTCCTGTTAGCTAGTCGAAAGCCTGACCATCCAATACCCTGTTTTCCATTTGACAATTATCAACTAAGTCTCTGTTTACAACTAAGTTACATACTACATTAGTGAGGTTTCAAAGTCTTTGGACGAACTGTGACAAACACTGAGAAGGTGCTATGGGAAGCACTAAAATGATTCCAAAGAATACTGCTATACACATTTGTGAAATCAAAGCAAGCAATGTGAGAGACCAAGTAACTCCCCTGCAGCATCTGCTTTGTTCTGTAGATGCATTTTCCAGATCCACTTCAATGGCAGTTAGTATCCTGTTGATTTTTCTACATCTAATTCATGAGAAGAATTTCTTTATATTAAGCATGCCTGCATAATTCCCAGCTGAACTATTCTAGTTGTCTCTTCTACCTTTGGCATAACAAATCACAAGTTCACTGCTCCTTTAATGTAAAGATTGCATTTAAATTGTTCTTTCAATATAAAGTTAATGATTTCCAGGCTATATCTACACATAACTGTTTTATTTATATTTATGAAGTAAATCAAACATTCTGCACGGTCAGAGAATTTTAGATATCACACAAAGGTCAGACACCTACAGATTCCAGATCTGTCTTTGAAACTTAGCCCCAGGAACTGTTTATCCAACCAAAAGTGACAAAACAAGCCACAAGCATCAACAGCCAGATTCTATTCCATCCTGTTCAAGTCCTCAAAATCCATTAAGGCATCTACTTTTGTAACATGCAGTTATCTGACCCTTGAGATTGAAAGACAAGAATAATAGAGAGGGAGAAGACCCATCCACCTTTTGCATTAATAGTTTTCCAGGGTCTTGAGCAGGGTAGAATCACACTTGGGCACCTAAATCCATTTAGGCACCTAATGGGTAGAATTGAAATCTTGCACCAAGTTTCCAGATCATGACTCTGAGGGCAATTCTTCTTTCTTCATACACTAACAGATGCTACCAGAAATCAACACTTACATCACATAGAACTGTTCAGATACAGTAGTATAAATAAAGCAGATACCAGCTTCAAGTCTAGTTAGCCAAAAACAGATATAATATTTTATCTACTGAATATATTACCATTATTTTCCCCACCATTTGTGATTAACTATATTTTCCAATTAAAAGATATTATTCCACTTACTGCGCAACATCGGATACTCTGGGCAGTGGTGACTCTTCCAATATTAGATCAATGTCATCAGTGAAGCTGTTGGTCCTTGACATTTCATTACTGTTGCCTTCTAAACGCCTTTTCACTAGACAAATAATTTAAAGAGAGCACAGTACATTAGACAGGCAATGTATACATAAATTCCTATTGATTTTTTGTAAACATTACTCTTGCAAGTGGGCTCAATGATTTTGAGACTTTTAATAGATTATAGGTATAGGTTTCAATAGAGGTAGAGTACAGATGCACATGAAGTCTCTGATGAAGGGTTCCCCCTACTCCTCCCAAGGACTGTTCTCATTCAAAAGCTGAGGCTTACTATTTCAAGCATTGTAATTTGGACATTGCAATGAATGACAACAAGTTCTGGCCTTGATTTATTTTCTGAATAAATAGTATTTCACCGAATCCAAGTTCTCTGTCAGCCACTTACTGGGTCCAGGCAGGGCCACAGTGACTGTCTCCACAGCCACTGAGTATTACATAAACCACAAAAGAATCATCCCTTAGCAGCTGCTATCACCCAGTTCCTTCTGGCACTGAATGCTGTGAAAACACCAAATATGCTCATTACGTTCCCAGAAGGAGCAACCACCATCCACAAAGAAACTTTAAAAATGCCCCAGACCCTGTGTGATGCCAGCTCAACAAGGGGGCTTAGGAACAAGGAGATAAAATAGGTCCAAAGGACTACATTTCCACCATCAGCTAGGAAAGGAGAGGGACTGTCCAAAAATTATACCTTTCAGGAAGGGGATGGGGAAGAGAGAAACCAGGTCATGGTTTGCTCGTCTTCCCTTCACTTCTCTTCCCATAACCACCTTCCCTAGACACTTAATCCATAGTAAGTAGACAGCATTAAAGAGAAGGGCCTAAGTTAACAAGAGGTTGCCAGGTAGGGCTGTGTGAAATGGCACCGTTCCATTTCAACTTGCGTTTCAACGTTTTGATGGAACAGCGTTTCATTTTGAATTTCATTTTGATTTGAAACAGTTGTTCCATTTCGTTTTGTCAAAACAGTTTCGCTGTTTCAACGCTGTTTTGACGTTTCACCCATAAGCTATAATGGGGAAGCTTGAAATAGCCTATAACTTGGTCATTTCTCACCTGATTTGACTGAAACTTGCAGGAATGGTAGCCCCTTCCGAGGGCATAAAGCATGCCAAGATTCAAGGAGATAGGTGCAGGGGTTTCAGGGAAACTGCACCTCAAAATCTTGAAAGCAAAAAACTCATGTCGTGTATGTGTTAAGGCGCAGTGGGGTCAAAACTGCTAGCCCTTGCTGAGGCAACAAAGCCTGCTAAGGTTCAAGGAGATAGGTGCAAGGGTTTGGGGGAAACTACACTTCAAGTTGCTGATAAGCAAAACTCGTGACATAGGTGACATTGTGTGTGTGTTAAGGTGCACCAGGGTGAAAACTGTAGGCATGCTAGCCCCTGCTGCAGGCACGAAGCCTGCCAGCTTTCAAAGGGTCCAGGGGAGTCTGGGTTCTGGGGCCCTGCACTTGTAGCTGCTGACAGGCAAAACCTGTGACATGGGTGGGTGACACTGTGTGTGTGTTAAGGTATGCCCTCACTCAGCTGACACCAAAGCAGAAAGCAGGGCAGTTCAAACAATGCTGCCTTTTATGCAGTTTTTCCATCCCTTCCCCAGAGCACTGAGATTGGAAGGGACCTCAGGGAAGGATGACAGCCACTGGCGAGCTACACAGTCAATAATGAGAGCACTCCTTCCCGCCTCTCTCTCCTTACTTTAGTTTCTGTTCCCCTGCAGGCAAGCCCAGCTTGAGCTTTGAAACTTGAAACATTTCAAAATTTTCAAAACGTTCTGACTTGCCTCGTTTCATCTCAAGGCTGTTTCAAAGCTCTCTGTTTCGTTTCGCTTTTGATGTTTTGAGCTTGAAACAAGTTGAAACAGTGTAAAAACAAAACTCCCGGAAAAATTTCACACAGCCCTATTGCCAGGAAGGTCCCCATGCTCTTTTTGAATAGGTCCCATTAGCACATCAAGAGCCATGCCAGACATTGAGGCATCAGAACCACCAAGTAATATCACAATCACAAATGTTGGAAATCTCCCTACACCCAGTTTTCAATGACACGCTTTCAGAAGAAAAAAGGCAGGCACTGAGCAAAACATTGAAATAGCTGAACCCCAAATTAAAGGTTGTTGAATAGGGACATTAGCATTAAACAGCCCTGCTCTTCACATTTCAATTCCTACACACCCCAGGTTTCTGTAACCACCCCTCCTCTAAAAACTTGCAGTTTTAGGGGGATTACCCCTGAAATATGCCACGTGCTCAGCATAAAAAAAGGCAGACACTGAGCAGAAGACTCAATGGACAAAACAGATCCCCAGGAGCACAGGTGAGTGATTGATAGGTCAGACAGTGTTGCCGGAAAGGGGAGGGAGTGGTGCTTGAAGGGCCACCTGCAGTCCCTTCAACCTGCATTGCAAGCTGCCAGGAAAAGAATTTTGGGTGCTCATGGCAACAAGCCATTAACAACTATCCTTCTGAACAATAGGGATCTGGGGGACAATTTGGGGCACACTATGGATGTCACAGATGTTCCGTTAGGAAAGGTCACATGAGCAGATTTCTGTGAGTGCTGGTACTGAGACAGTTCACACCTGCATAGTTATGCATATGTGGAAACTCAGACCTGCATGAAAAGGCTCCATACACGTGTGTCTATAACTGCTTGGTGATTTATTTTGGCCTTGAAAATATACTCAATGGAGGTGCCAAAGTATAAGCCATGTCTGATGGTCTTGGAGCAGCAGCCAGATACATTCCTAAGCCATGGCCCCAACTGGGCCTGGGAAGAACTGGCAGATTTGATTGATATTTGGGGGGAACAAAAGGTTCTGGAGCAGCTGGAAAATTGATTAAATAAGCCGTCTACGTGGCCATTGCCCAGGAAATGAAGGTGCGCAGTCACAACCGGGACTCGGAACAGTGCCACAGCAAGATAAAGGCCCTGAAATGTGCTTTCCATTGGGCCAAGGACCAGAATTCTCATTTGAGGGCAGGACACACAATAAACCCATTTTATGAGCAGCTGTCCTGCATTCACGCAAAGGACTCAGGTGGCACTTGCCTCAGATCATTCGGGATGGTGGGGGTGCAGGAGGCCACAGTATCACCTAGCCCACAAGAGTCCAAACACTATCCTACCACCACAGCAGGCAATGCGATATGCACTGTGCAGTCCTCAGGCAACCAGTCAGAGGTGGGAGTGAGTGCTCAGAGCAGCTGGAGGACAGGGACAGCCAAGACAACGTTGTCTCGACCACGACCATGCTTTCCCTGATGCATCTGCCTCCTCTGGGTTATGTGGGTGATGCATCAGATTCCATGATGGTACTGTCCCTGGAATTGTGGGACACCAGAAATTTCAGAAACCCAAAGATCAGTTTCAGTGTCAAAGATGCCTAAGGATCCACGGCCGGGGAAGTAAGTTACAGGGAAGGGGTATTAGATCGATTTGGGTTACTAGGGCTTACATGGATCTAGCCTCCCTTTTGCACCAAACCCAAGTGCAGCAAGGTGGGAGGGAGGGTGCTAATTTTGTAAGAGGCAAATATGTCTGCTGCTTGCAGTAGCACAGGGTTTTGCTTATGTGGCAGTGGATGTGCTGTGCCCTCTCAAAGTTGCTTGGGGGAGGGGGGAGGCATTAATTCATTTAGGGGAAAGAGTTTGTGCTTCTGAGAGATGTACAATGAACTCCTTAGTGGACTGTGGAGACAGCTGGGTTCCTACATACTCATTCTTTGGAAGTGCATTAATTCACCAAGTGGCAGGGATGCTGCTTGATGATCACCAGTAGTCAGTCTGCTACAGGGAATGGGGATGAGATCTTTGACCATGAACACCTTGTTTTTTTACCATTCCTGTCAAACTGGTGCATGACCTCAAGGTCCCAGAGCACCTGCACCAGGCTCATTGTTTTGGCAAAGGTCCAATGGGACCTAGACCTACTTGTTCCATTCTCCCCTGAACATCAGACATCTTGGATCAGTAAGGGGTACCCCAGGAGCTGTGCACTCAATGTATAAGTCTTTAGGTGACAGGGCCAAGGGAATTTCCCCCCCCCCCCCGGTCCCTAAAACCCTGTTGTTGCTGGCAAATTTTGGACACCAGACATGCTGGTATCAGGCAATGGCAACTTTGCATCTTATGAACATACTTGTTCTAGACATCTTTTAGCCCTGTGTATGCCATGGCACAATATCAGCCTACCCAATAAACAATGTACTGAGAGTTAGGCCCTCTATGGGTGCCCACAGACTCCCTGTTGGGGCATGGCACAACAGACTACCCAGTGACTCATGTGTCAAGACACTGCTCCCAGTGGGACATGGTCTGAACTACCGTGCAATTCAGACATAGCCAGTTAGGGAATAAATAACGACAAAACTCACCTGCTATTCATAAAGCTGGCACACTTTAGGCTCATGGGGGCTCACAGAATTCCACTTGTTGGGTTTATGTAAAACTGACAAGCAAATTAATGGTGTTTGGGGTGCAATTACACTGCAGCCAACCAAAAATGAATATTTTAGAGGTGCAGGGTGGAAGGGAGAAGAGGTTCCTCAGGGCTGTTGCTGGGCAAAGTCTGGGGATTTTTGCTGGGCAGGCAAGAACTATGCTCTGCAACTGTTGCAAGTTTTGGCACCAGTCAGCAGCTCCCCCCGATGTCCTAAAATAGTAATTACACACAAATACCAGCAAATTGTCTACTTGGCGACAATTAGACAAGGCTGGAGGCCTAAGGGGTTCCTGTACTGATCTTCAACAAACAAAACCCCTCCACTACTCCAGCCATTTTTTACATCTGCCTCAGCAGCCTTCCCTATGTGATTTAGCCCTTGTGTATCAAGTCCTGTGATCCACTCCCCCTACCCTGGTGTTTGTTGTATGGCTTAGTAGCCAGCTCAAGTCTCCCCAGCTCATGTGCATATCTGTTCCTCCCCCCCTACATTCCCAAAGCATAGCCCCAATTAGATTCACCAGCCCCACCATATATTTTGTTTTTTTCTTTATTGTCTTCCCCTCCCTCATGTGAAGGTAATAGCAGG